TTCTGTTGGTAAAACTGGCCTCTGCATCCGGAGGACTGATGACTGATGAGTTTTATCATATATTATCGATGATGATTGCATTGATTTTACATTGTTAATCATATGAATGGGAGAATAATGACAGTCCATCGCCCGTTAGCTGCGTGTTATATCCATTCATTACGTGTTCTGAACGCGGACGGTGAGGGTCTCCGTTCGGGGAAACTCGACGGAAATATCCTCCAGTGACTCGACACAGCACTTATTTATAAACAGGGGTCACTTTTTGACTCACCCACAATTAGGGCACTGGGATCTAGGACTCATGGCCCGCGTCTCGCTGCACTCCCGCCCCCTCCCTTCCCATGAGTCCTGCCCCACCCCTGAAGTTCCCTTGTCCCCGGTGGTGTTCCCCGCTAACCCCTTCCTCTAGCACCCACTCCGCTGAGATCCGTTCCTTCCAAACTGGCCGCCCTGCTGACTAGAGATGTCAATCGGATGCTAACTTTTTGGTATACCGATACCAAACTGATACCAACTTGGTATTTGGTATTTCAATCGTATTGTGTTTGGTATCTTGTTGGTATCATAAACCCTCACTAATGTATAAGAGGCTAGGAAATCGGTAAAAAGTTGGTATTTCCCTCATTTCCCCAAGTTGGTTTGGTTTCCGTATTTCCCCGTGGTTTTGGTTGGTATTTGGTTTGGTATCGGTATTCTGATTTTCCGTAATTGACATCACTACTGCTGACACCCCCTCCTCTCACCGGCAGAAAGAGGAGCAGGGCGTCCAGACGGCCTACTGTCAGAACCAGGACAGTATGCTCCACTGGAGCTACAACTCAGTCTTCTTCGTCTGCAAAAAGCCGAGCTGAGGGCGCCGGTCGTGGTAGCGCCTCCCGATTGTGTGCGTGTGTGTACCTGCCGCTTACTCCGCGTTTGACCCCGCCCCGCCGCCGCTGCCGGGTTGAACTCGCCGGTCTGAGCACCGACTGCTGTGTGCTCGGACTGGACCTGAATCTATACCTCAGGCCACGACCCCGGCGCTCGCGTGTGACAGCGCCGGCGCCCGGCCGCTCCAGTACGGGGTCTGACCGAACCCAATGTGATATCTCAGCGCAGATCCGACTGGCCCGACAGTCATTTGGAATCGTTTTACCTTTTGTATCCTAGCGTGTTTTGAGCAGCTGGGGCTCCGAGCGCCAGAAGTGGTTAGTCGGCCCATCGCCGACCGTGTATAGGACAAAACTGCAGAATGTATCTCCTATATTGGGAGAAATAAATCGCAATGAAACGTTACATGTTTAATCGCCGGGTGCTTCAGTAGTAGCAAAGTTATGCTGTGGGCATACTCATAGCGTGGGTGTAATGCGCAAACTGTCTTCAAAATGGAAAACTATGGACGCGTCTCGCACCACAGATGCAAGAAGAATGTGGATGTTCTGAGAGGTCGTTTACGTGTACCCAATCTGATAGTGTATTGATTGTGTCGTTGACTGGGCAAAGACCGCAGGCAAAGGCTGGCTAGTTGGCAATAGGACACCGCAGACAGACTGGCAAACTGACAGCACAGTTTATTAATGGTTACATGTCAGAGAACACGAACACACGTAAGTGCCATCGACACCGGGTCGCGCGCGCGGGACATGCAATGGTTTAAAGCAGAAATTTGTCCACGTCGGGGCTGGTATTCACAATAACTCGCAGTCGGCCGCGACTAGATACGGTTAAAACCATCGGGATAAATATACAGCCGGGGTCTGGTGAGCACAACCCCTGAAAAAAACGAGGCTGGAAGATCTCGGCGGCCGTCGGCTGCATCCCGCCCTCCTATTACAGCGCTGGGCCGGGGACAGCAGTCGAAGAAAAAATCCTACACGAGAGGACAGCGGCAGTGCGGTCATCTACGAGCGCAACATCGAGCCGACATTCAGATCCACAGCACTACAGCAGTTCGGGCAAGAGTCGGCCGCCTCCGTCCGGCCGGCGCGGCCTCTAACACAGACTAACAGATCGGCGCCCGGCCCGGGGGGGGGGGGAGGCGGTTCCCACGCCGCCGCCGCCGCCTACACAAACACCTTGGCGAGCGCGTCGGCGCCGCCGGACGCGATGTACGGCTTGGTCGGGTGGAAGCCGACACAGTGGATGCTCTCGTCGCTCTTTTTGCGGTGCGCGGTGATCTCCTGGACGCACTGTTTGGTCTCCAGGTTCCAGAGGCGCACGCTGCAGTCGTGACTGCCCGAGAGCAGGTAGAGGCCGTGGGGGTCGACAGCCAGGCTGGTGACGGCGTCCTGGTGCGCCACCATCGCCTGCACCACCTTGCCGGTGACGTTGTCGTAGAATCGAATGTGGCGGTCCTCGTGGGCGGCCACCGTCACCGGCATGGTGGGGTGCGAGACCACGCAGTTGACCTGGTCGCGCGGCGCGCCGCCCTCCACGTTCTGGTTGGACTCGAGCTGCATCACCACCTTGGAGGTCTCCAGGTCGTAGACGGCGCAGCGGCCGCTGGTGTAGGCCGCCACCATGTGGCTGCAGTCCTCGTGCACAAAGTCCACCGAGCTGGGCACGCCCATGGCCGGCTCGGCGGCGTACGACTGCAGCAGCGGCGCCTTGCTGCCGGGACTCCACAGCTTCACGGTGCCGTCGGCCGAGCACGAGAGCAGCTGCGGCTTCTGCGTGTGGAACGCCAGGCCCCAGACGGCGTCCGTGTGGCCACTCAGCGTGAGACTGAGCACGTCCGGGTCGTACGCGTCATACGGGTCGATGTTGGAGTTGGGCACGTTCCAGACGCGCACGGTGCCGTCCACGCCGCCCGAGTAGCACTGCTCGCCGGTCGGGTTCATGCAGGTGGCCAGCACGGCGCCCTGGTGGCCGCGGAACGTGTACACCGGCTCCACGTCCAGGAAGGCCGACTTCTTGCCGGCGATGGTGCGCATCAGGTTCCACAGCTTCAGCGTGTGGTCCTCACTGGCAGTGATCAGCGCCGGCTCGATGGGGTGGAACGCCAGCGCCCTCACACCGTCAAAGTGCGAGCGCAGCGTGTACTTTGCGTTCCACATCTTTGAGTAAGCCTCTTTGGAGGTGCCTGACTCGTACATGCCCTCAGCCTCATTTGTCACCGTGAGCTGAGCCAGCTCACCCAGTCCCATCTCCTCCAAGGACTCGTCATTGACTTCCATTCCATAATGGGCTGAGTTCATCCTCATGCCTGGCTTCTGGAGGCTTGGATCCTTGCTTGCTGCTAATCTCATAGCACTGTTCTCATCCCATGGGTTCACCATAGACATGTTCCCAAAGTTGAAGTCCAGTGATTTCAGAGCCATTGCCATGTTTGAGGAATCTCTTTCATCATCTCCAAGAGATTTTCCTTGTTTGCCTGTGTTGATTTCTTCACTCTTCCAGTCTTCCTCATCTTCATCTCCATCATCGACAGGAACACCCCCATCAGGGTTCAGAAAGTGACAGTTTGCTAGCACAGCTTGTTCTGCCTCTCTCAGCATATCCTCTGCTAAAAGACCAGCCTGATTCTGGCTCGCAGATTTAGCTTGGACATCACTTTTTGATGCCACGGGATCAATACTCTGTGCTGGTACTCCATCTTTGTTTTCCTTCAGCCCAAGCAATGATCGTACTCTGTTTGATCTCACATCAATCACTGTGTCTGTATAGCCGATCTCATGCAGATACTGTCTAAGAAGCTGCCGCCCCTGCCGCCACGATATATCACTGCTGGCAATTATTAGCTGATCTGCTTCGCCAGCATCTTCCTGTGCTTCGTCCAGTTCAGCATCCTTCAGGTCGCCTTGTGATAGATCTGTGCCGTACTTGAGTTTGTGGAACCGTGCACGCTCCTGTTTCAGAGCATGTTCAAGCATCTTGATTCTCCTGACCAAGTCATTTTTTAAGTTTTCTTGGCCTTTCCTCTCACCTTGAAGGAATGCAATTTTGGCCTCCAATTCTGCCCTTTCAACATCCCACTTGGATCTCTCTAGCTCAAACTTTGCCCACTCATGTTGAATAAAATGAAGAATCCCTGGTACGGAGTAAGCATCTCTTGGATTGACTTCCTGCTTTGCACCCATGGCCATTCCAACACCTAAATTGTTTGCTTGTCCATTGTGATTCTGGATCGACATATCCGGCTCGTTCGTAATGGTCATGACCTAACGTGCAGTAAATGTAAAGTTACATGATTTTTAAAACCACGATAAATTGCGGACACTATAGCGAGTAAATACAAGTCTTTCCGATAGTGTGCACGGGACTCAAGCCACAAAATCGTAAAAACAAAGCACACAAACACTCCTCATTTGCCTCCTCTTCTCAGACTCCGATGTACGAATTCAAGGTTTACGAAAATGCTAACCAATTGCGACCCTTTTCTTTAATAAGATTGATGACGTATTATCACATTTTGTCTAAATGTTTCAAAACAGAGCGATTAAGAGGCTTTAAAAAAATTTATTTTACAAATACTTGAACGTTTAAATTATAGATATTAACATTTAAATAATAAAAGAGTCTATTAAGAATATAAAAATATATTCTATTCAAAAAATACGTCATTGTGACGCGGTTTATCGAGATGTCCTTAGAACCGTTAGTTTGCTGCAGTTTCTTTCTCTTCCGCACAACTATTTTGCTGCTATTCTTGGTAAGCAAAATTGCTCTCAGCCACCAGGACTTTATTGGTTACAGAGCGTTGCTTGTCATGTAAGCGAAAATGCACCAGCGAAAAAAATGATGGCAACCCGAATCATTTATCGCACCTCTATAATGGCAAAGGTGTGAATTTACATCTTTGGTGAATTGAGTCTTTTACAAAGTCTAGTGTTGCGCAGAATAAGCTCAATTTCCTTATTACTGCAGAATTAATTACAGTAATGCAAATGAAACCGAGAACGCATGGCGGGCAGTTGCGCATCGTTTACCTAATTCTAATTAGCCTTATCTTATCCGTCCCCAGGCCGAATAGATACAATCTCAGTACAGCTTGATCATTGCCAAGAATAAACGTAGGATTGAATGTTCATGTGTCTATTGGTGAAAAGAGCACGATACAGTACGCAAATAAGCGAGTGAGCAGTGCATATGACAGGCGACAGGCGAAGCGGACACCAGCAAGCGAGCCGGGTCCTCACAGAGGCTACTGTAAGCAAACACGCAGCGCAGCATCGGTAACAGCCGATGAACGCTCGTCGCAAACGTCGGTCGATGTCGCAATGCGGCTCAGCCAGAAAACGTATCGTTCATCATCTTACACTGTCTACAAGCTGATTCTATGACATTTTCGCTAGTCTAATGATTTGGTGACGCGACATGGCAAAAAGGAAATAATACTGACACACAGAAAAAAACTCAGAACTATTTTACACAGCACGAGATGTTGATGAGCGCATTTCATACTGGCATTTAGATGATCATACTTGTCAACAATGTCTTCGCACAAAAGAATCATTGTGAAGTAACGTCACAGGACTCCAGGTTGAGCATTCAACGAAACAGTGTCTTTGGCCAATCGGACATTTGTACATCATCAAACTGTTAGTCTAATTGATTCCTTACGACAATCAAAACGGCAAGATCTTTACACCACAAAGTACGTAAGGACCTGAGACAATCATGCATCTGCAAGTACAAACTGCCAAAACAAAGGTATCTCAGGCGAAAACAAAATGCTTCCAATGGGATGCGTCAAGCGATACCAGCCTTGATAAAACGCTTGTCAAAGACCGATTGGTTGCCACAGTCAGACTTAAGAGCACTCAACAGAATCAAGGGAAGAGGGAACATCACTGAATTGGTAGTGTCCTTCCAAAAGCTTCCCCATAGGAACAAAGGTAAAAAAAAAACTTTGGAGCCCCTATTGGTACACATCTACAGCAGTTGCTGCCGCAACTATACGCGAGAAGTGCCAACTTAACTTACCTACCTAGCAAATAAGGCGCTATAAAGCATGCCATGCGACGCGGACTCAACCTTCCTCAGGGAGTCTCGCTAAATGCAGAGCAATAGCGGCAGAAGGCGGAACACGGGGATCACCTGCGCGCTGGCAGGAGTCCCCGCGAGCTTGGCATCCATCAGACTGTGGAGTTCAGCTACTAGAAAACTTATCGAGCCACAGTGCTAGGGACTGGACAAACGTAAACCGTACTGAAACAACGTCTAAAACAGCAGGCAATTTGAAATCATACAAACCTCACATGCCAAGTTCATGACAAGTATTACAAAACGAGTGGCCATTCGGAATTGATGTCATGACGTTTTAGAAACCATTTTGATTCAGTGTTAGATCTGAGGCGGATGAGATTTCGGCTCGGCGCCGGGCGCCGGTGTCACCGTCTGAGGCAGCTCCCCGTCTCCGAGGGCCGTACCGTCCCAGTGTCGCCTCAGAGGCGGAACGAGCGGCGGCCCACCGTCTCTGCCAGCCGGTGCAGCTCGCGGCCGGAGCGCTCTGCGCGCGCCGCGTCGCTGCGCATCCGGCCCGTGGGGCTGTGGAAGCCGTCAGAGGGCGGCGCCCAGGCCGGCCCGAGCGCGCGCCGCTGGCCCGGCGACGGCCCGCTGTGCGGCGCGCGGGCCTTGGGCCGCGGGGACGGCGCCGCGCCAGTGTTGGCCACGTTCTGAAGAACCCGACGGCTGAAACGGCAACAAGATAGCGGATAAGATGGGTGCAAAGGAAACACCATACAAAATGGTAAGTAATAAATATTAAATACCTGCAATCAGTCTTGAGTCTACCTGCCATGACCATGAGACAATTCGTAGTCCCAGATTCACATTTTGACTTATGTCGTACACTGGCCATTGGCAAGTGCCAAGTTAACTCGACCCATGGCAATGCAATGGTCCGATCATAACACATCGACAAGAGAGCGTGTTTGTACGCCCCTTAGTGATCTGGGCACGCTTCCCCCTCCCCTGCCCCGCCTCCAATACGGTTTCTGGACCAGTGGTCAAGACTCCCCCAAGGTCATCGAAAGTCAACTTTTTAGAATTACATTATAGTTCGCTCATAAATTGTTGGGTTATTGCCATATCATGAAAAAGGCATTCGACAAACCATCAACCGATGCCCAATCCCTCCAGAGCTAAGGAACCCGCGGTGAGGGGGATTTACCGCGTCAGCATTTGAACACCCCGATGCGATTTTCCGCGAAATCGCAAAATTATGGTGCATTTGGCACACCTTATACTATAAGCAATAAGCATTCGACAAAGCGGCTGTTATGTCTGTTATCGTCACTGACCGTCTCGGCGGTGGCTTGGGCACGGGCGGAGTCACCTCCAGCGCTCGGTTGGCACAGCCGGCGCGCTCTGCCGGCGTCTCGATGCCGAACGGCGAGTAGAGCCGCGCCGCCGGGCTGGCGCGCAGCCGCGAGCGGCGGCGCGGGCTGCCCGGGGACGGTGTGAACGGAGAGTTGGTCAGCCGGTACCGGCGCCGGGTGGAGCGGCGCAGACGCTGCAGGGGCGGCCGGGAGGGGTCAGACGAATGGGGAGGCGAGGTCAGACGCTGCAGGAGGCTGGGAGGGGTCAGACGCTGAGGGCGCGGCCGGGAGGGTAATGTCAGATGCTGGGGCAGGAGGTGTCAGACAGAGAGGCAGCACTCAGCAGGCAGGGTCAGAAGAATTAGACTTATCACTGTGGTGTTGCACATATGACAAATGAAAAGGCAGTCTCTATTGCAGAATGATGAGTATGACATGTAAAGTAGTTGTGACAGTAGGTAGACACCCCTACTTCAATGCCTAACTTTATGGTTTATCATACTCACTTGAGACAACATATCAAAAGTAGAAGCTACTTCATGAAATGCTCTTTGTACTTTCTTCTGGCCCTGCCTCAAGGCCTCTTGTGGTTGAGTGTTCTTGATAGAAGAAATTGATGGCAGTCTCATATTGAACAGCCCACTCATTGATCTTGATTCTGTAGACTGATTTGTTGAGATGGCCACAGATGTTGCAGAGAAGGCAAATCTTTGTTCCAGACACTGTCTTGTGGAGTGAGTTGCTTGGGGCTCAGAATATTGTCTTCTCAAAATCCAAGGAACTGGCTCTGCCTGAGTTGAAATGTTCTCCATTTGGGTTGTTCGCTGCATGGTTACAGCTCAGTTACATAAAATATATCTGAAAAAGAAGTTAAACTATTTTTCAAAAATGTGTTTATTTAGGTACCTTTGCATGGCAGCAATAGAAGAGGAACCAGGGCAGGGGTCAGAGGACCGCACTGCTCTGGCTTGGGTGGAATCTGAAAACAGGGCGTGTCATGTGACTTCAAAGCAAATCTCTTCCTGCTGCCTTCCATAGGCTAATTGTCACATGATCTGTGTAAGAGCATTTCAAGAGCCTTGATAAAGTCGCCACAGGCACCCTGTTTTCAAATTCCACCCTGTCTTGGATTGGAACTGAATTAGTTGGTAACTTCAAGGCTGTTTGTCGAGTCACTTGAGCTAATTGTAATGATAAGTAAAATTTCAAGTTGTACTGCTAGTATAAAATAACACAATTGATGTCCAGTGATCCTTTTTAGATTCAAATTCAAACCAAGGGATAACATCAATAAACATACTGTCCCAAGTAGCCCGGCAGGTTCAGAGGTCAAAGCTGAAGTTGAAGTTGAAGTGCACAGTGCACACGCTTTTCGAAACTCAAACTTGAACTAAACTATCCAAGTGAAATAACAACAAAAATAATGTTCACCATGAATGACCGTTCCTGAACGTAAAGTAAGACATTTTATCAGCGCATCGGGCTAATCTACAAGCAATCACCTCCCCTAACCTCTCGAATTCGAATCACCGTTCAAAACTGTTTCCGTTTCAAATTTCCCACGCCCGTCTCCGATTTCGTAAAGAGGAGTAAACAATATTGTTCTGCAGGGTCCTGACACTCTTAAACGTAGCATTTGATTTGTTCAAAGATGAACTTGAGCAGCAACGCACATTTGTGATTGGCTGCTGACGCTTTTATCGGGCCGCGTGCAGAACTGTTTTAGCAAAGAATGCGCTTTTAATGCCGCATTCTTGCTTTACTACGTGGCGGCTAGGGGCCTAGGGGGTAAAGAGAAATTATAAACATTTTTTGATACTGGTTCCCTACAGCTGGGTTATATAGGTCGTTAACAGATTATTGTCAGCTATTTCGTACTTCTGAACGAGATTTTCATACTAGCTGGCCCATTATATGAGCACATTCGTCTATACTTTATATGACTTGTCTATTGAATCTTGCTTTTAGCATTCTTGGGCTTTGCTTTTATTGTTATTGATTTGCAGCTATCCGTTTTATATTTTGACTTAGCATGTCTCTGGGCGCGCCTCTTCCATCAAGGACTGTATGACTTAAAATATTGGATAAGAAGCCCTACCGTATCAATTGACGTGTGGCTCGAGTCACACTTAAATTAGCTGGCTGTAGAGGCCAGGGCTACTATGCTATGCAGTAGGGTGGACGGCAAAAACCAGGCACCCAGAGGGCATGAGATATGGTACACTACCATGTCCAGTCACATGACCACTAAGAGGTTTTCCCTCTACCGAAGCCTTCTACGGTTAAGTCAAAATGTTGGTCACGTGCTCTGCGTAAGCTACTTTCAAGAGCCTTGATCAAAACACCCCAGGCGCCCTGTATTCACCATTCACCCACAGCAGAGTCTGATCAGGGTTTACTCCTTAGTCTGTACCTTTATTATGGTAAATTGCTCCAATAATTCAATCACAGATTCATGAAGAGTTAAGCATACCAGAGTTCCAAATAGATGTCAGTAATAGGTATTTAAGGTAACAAGGTGATTGTTACAATTGAGACACTGAAATCACTTAGCTTTGAACCTCACCTTTCAATCGTCTTTCTGTCTCTCCAACATTCATGCTAACTTAATTATTAAAGAAAAAATTAAAAGGAAGTCAGCAGTTATACCTATTTTGGATGATTTTTCATGCCAATACTTTTTTACATGTAGGCACTTCCTTGAACTTAGAGATTGAAATGTCAGCACTCCTTATGATCACCTGGTTTCTGATCAAAATTCAAGATGTAATGGCTAATGAGCTACCTATATGTTTGTTAGAGTGCTTTTGGGGGTTTTCCTTCCTGTCCCAGTGCCTGTGAAAGAGTTAACATACCCATTGTTTGTCAGAATTCTAATTCATCATAATGGATAACCATCATCTTTAGTTGTCTTGGGACTGTGGCCTGTGGGTACCTACCTAGCTACTTACCCCTCTTAGTTCAGTGATATAGAGAAGTCCATGATTAAAACATTTTCTTGGGACTAAGTAATTGGATCTGTGTTACCACTTTTCTACCATTACTTACAGGGTGTCCCAAAATTAATGTCACATTCTCCCACAGCCTTCATTTGGCTTCTATGGTGCAACATCAATATAATTTCGCCGGTACTGCGCTCCCTCTACCATATTGGCTACATTATAGTCACGTAACCTTCGAATTTTTGTGACCCTGATCGGTCGAAGGGTGTATGGAGGTCATTTCCAGGGCAGTACCCAGCGCGCGCGGACCAGGTGTCCAGGATGGCCAAACTGCAGAGCAAATCGTCCCGCAGTGGGGCAGTCGGCATGGTTGCCGACGGCATGAACCACGGTCAGGTCGCCGAGACACTGGGCATGAGTTGCCGCACGATTTGGCACTGGTTATCACGTGACGAAGCGGATAGACGCCTGGGAACAAGCTAGGTCGCGGCAGGAAGACCTCCGCCAGCGCAGATCCTCATCGCGAAGTGCAGAACTAAAGACGGGCTGAATCGCGATTCCGACCAAACAGAATCGCGATTCCGACCAAACATGGTCTCGAGAAACATGCCATAGGTCAAAGTCATCTGGGTCAGGGTCATGAAATTTTCAGGGTAGGTGTAAAATTGATAGCTCGAGGGCACTTGAAATTTCGTCGCGATCGGCTACCTTTGGCGCGAGATATTCGCGAAATACCGAGGGGGGAGGTCCGTTCAACACCCTACCCCCCCCCCCCCCCCATCTAGCAGTGCGAGGGTTAACTTACTCAAGGGCAGGTAAAAAGGAAGAAGGACAGTTACAATTGCAGTCATTATGTTGCTCAATGACTATACATATGCATTATCTATTTGATTATAGGCTTTTCAGGGCTGACTTGATGTTATGATATTGCTATTTGCATGATTGTGAATCCTGATGTGCGTGTCTGCGGTTTTCTGGATTTATTTTGTAAATGAGTATGTGTACCTACTACCTACTGCTGTGTTACAGAGAGAAGTCAGGTGATATCGGCTTAGATTGCAAGTCAATGTCAACATAAGAGTGTTCTTGGAGATGGCTGCAGGTGCCCACAGCTGGGAAGGTAAGACAAAAAAAAATCGATTATTCTTCCATTTCCATTGGCTCACATCATAAGAGTCAATGTTCATTTTACAATGCATAATCATACCTGCATTTTGCAATATTATATGACATGTAAGAGTGGTCAAGACAAATTTTACACTTATAAGTGCTTTGGAAGGAGTTTAAAAGCAACTGTTATCCTCTGTATCACTGTATCATGTGGTATTGTTCTTATCACTCATTTCAAATGTTCGGCAGCTCATTTTGTTGCCTGTATAGATATCACAGCACCTCAGCACCTCTGCCACATTCAGGGTCCAGGGAATATGTGATGTGTTTGACTGCTGTCTGACCTATCCCCAGACCTGCGGAAGCAGGCCAGGCAGGTGGAGAATGAGCTGGACGTTAAACTGGTGGCCTACAGCAAGCTGGGTGCGGGCTATGCCAGCGCGCCATCTGTGGTGCCCGGGTGAGTGCCAAGCCGAGGTGTTTGTTGAAGCTGCGGCTATCTTTTAGTACACAGGCTTTGCCCATAGGTGTGTGATATGCTTATATGCCTCCTCTGATGTAGAAAACGATTTAAATGCTCACTGGTCACTTAAGTGGTCACTAAATTCAGCTGAGCTATGCTGTGTAGCCTGTGTCGAAACAGAAGTGTCGTCGTCTGTCCGGCATCACGGGCAGTGATGCCGTCTCGCGTTTGCCCTCCAGTAACCCCTCTCCTGAGTTCCAGCCACTGTCCGGCTCTTGGTCTCTACATTTCCTGTCACCGTGGCGATATGTCGATCTCACGCACGGCGCCCCATCCGCTGGCCAATCTGTGACTCCCCTCCCCCTGCCTCTCCTGTGTCCACTGACGGCGCCCCCCCCCCCCCCTCCCCCAGCGACCAGCAGCCGCTGCTCAGTGGCGACGACCAGCAGGTGGAGAAAACCGAGGCGGATATCGAAGCCTGTCTGACCAAGGTAAGCCCCGTTCGGCACCACCATTCTTTCGATGTGGAGCAATGACGTATTCCTTTGGAGAGTTGCAACGTCGCCTGCAGTCCTAATAATGCTGCTGAGGCAATACCTATAACATTGTCATTGAAGTGTAACCTGTGCACTTTTCCGTGTCCCGGTGTTCCAAGAGCAGTTTTGATGCCGATTCAAGTATTCTCCATCTTTTTCTACCACTTTTACTTGTCTGCGACATCGATATAACGTGTCATCGCTCACTTTAAACAAAAATGAATTTGTTCGCCCTTTTCAAAGTCCCGGGCGTAAAGTTCTCGATGTAATAGGAATTAACTACTACTCATGAGCCTGATGTGATCAAACGGTCGCTGACATCCTGGCTCAGACTGCGACAATTACTGGCGCGCCGCGGCTGCGGGCTGGGGTATGCCACGAGTTTTTTTTTACATCGGTGCCCGCTCGCTCACCTTCCTCCACTGCTCTCCAGCTGTCGACCATCAACGAGCGCATGTGCGAGTTTTCTGCGTCGGGCGCAGCGTCGAGCGCGGCGGTGACACATACGCTGCAGCGGCACCGCGACATCCTGCAGGACTACACGCAGGAGTTTCGGCGCACCAAGACGGCGCTGGACGCCAGCCGCGACCGCCAGCAGCTGCTCGGGCGCAGCGACGACAGGTGGGACGGTAGGACGGACGGACGGACGGGCGGGCGGACGGACGGACGGTCGGACGGTCGGTTGGACGGACGGACAGCGACTGGGAAGAGAGCCCGGCCGGCCTCGGGGAGCTGGTGACTGGGATGAGGTGTGGGCCTGGGTTTGAATTATTGTGGGGAGAGTTTGTGAGTGCTCGATAGGGTTGGATCAGTTGGATCAAAGTCAGGGTAAGAATTGTGGGCTGTAGATCAGTTAGGACTGACGTTTGAGTGAGATTAAGTAAGAGGACTTAATCGAGTTATAGGTCTGATGTTGGCTAAAGATAACGAGACGGCATATCGCAGGTATGGTGTGTCTAAGGTCCCAAATGCTGGGGAGAGTCAAAGTGGGCTCAATGTAAGCTACTGGGTTTATAGTATTGTGTCGGGCAATCCCGCCTAACTCCCGTCTCGGTCTTTTGTGTCGACAGTAGCTACAAGAATGGCCGGCTCAACCGCCGACTCGACCACCTTCTAAAGGAAAACGAACACATCAGAAAGTGAGTGACGGGCGCCCTGTAAGTGTGTAGCCTGCTGGGGCTGTACAATGTGCATGATCCCGGCCGGCGCTACACATTCACTGTTTTATTCTACAGTTCTCAGTAATATTGCTTTAATTGGCTATTTTATTAGCAGTTAGTACTAAATAACACTTTGTCAGTATGACTTGTGAGTTATCCATTTCACTGACGTTTACTATGAAATCAGCTGAGTGTTGAGGCTGCTGTACTGAGGCGTTTGTTGTGCTGTGTCCCCGTCCCTGACCTCCCTCCCCCCCCCCCCCCGTCCGCCCAGCTCGGACCGGCTGATTGACGAACAGATCGCCATCGCCATGGAGACGCGCGAGCACCTGGGCTCGCAGCGCGCCACCTTCAAGGCGATCCAGACGCGTGTCAACGACCTGGCGCACCGGTTCCCCATGATCAACAGCCTGGTGCAGCGCATCCAGCTGCGCAAACGACGCGACTCGCTCATACTCGGCGCCGTCATCGGACTCTGCCTGATATTCTTTATCTGGTACCTGTTCGGCTGAGGTTGGTCGATGCCTGTTCGGCTGAGGCTGACAGAGCAGAGACACAGCAGAGCAGAGTGTGTGGACAGGGAGTGAGAGCTCCAGAGGACGGGCGGGCGGTGACATGGCCGCGCGCGTGCCTGTGGGAGGGCTGTGCGTGTGCCGTGTGCGCAGAGTGTTGGAATGCAGCTCCACCTGACCTGTGCGGGGAGATTCGAGACGACCCGACCGGGGCACGGGCACCGTCACTGAGTCGCAGTCGCCCAGTCGCTCGGCCGTCTGTATTATTGAGTGATAGTCCACAGTCCACAGGCTCAGAGCGCGCAGAGGAATTATCAAGGCTGGGAAGGATATAACCGTGCTCAGTCGAATCCAGTGTGAATGCTGTCGATGATTCTTTTTTCGGGCACTGTGCTATATTGACTTCTTCACCTGATACTGGAGGGTGGCGCGGGGGAGGTAGGCTTATTGGTGCCGATATTCGGCCTCTGATGTAGGGGGCCTTGTGTGGGGCAGAAGGTCTTGAAGACGCCCGTACCGATATTCGGTGTTCGCTGTACGGGAGCCTTGTGTGGGGCGGTGGGGCTTCAAGACGCCCGTGATAAGTCTGCCAGGACGTCTGGGTGGGACAGCGATTAATGCTGCGATTAAACAGCCAATGATTGGTGCCTCGACGGAGCTGCAGTGATGATACATGAGACCGACAGTGATGTACGCGGGACTTAAGTGATATCCCGCATTGACAACGATGCCCCAGCGGACAATGGTGCTCGCAGTGGGACACTGAACAGGGAACTTCGCGACTGTTTTACGGAGGCGTCTGTGTTGGGACTGGAGGGGTATGTCGGTGGAACGGATAGCTGCCGCGGTGCCGTGGACGATAGAGTTACGGACCAAGTCGCCGATAGGGAAAATGTGTGGAGGGGCTGATATTGTCTGTGAGATAGCGGACGGCTGCTACTGGGCCAATGGCCTGCATAGCACGGATGCACGGCCGGGTGTGGCTGCAGCCTGTGGATGTCCTGCACCCACTGTCCTCGGCACCGACCGGGGTCCCGGTCAGCATCACTGCAGCACGGCAGTCCTGTCGACATTATCACACAGCCTTCTTGTGGGACTGTGCTCCCTGTGATGGATATATTCTTTATTCTGTCAAATACACAGATTATCGTAACTATATTTTTACCTGCTTTGCTCTTCGCGAGCTTTGAACGATGGCGGATTGGAGCTGTAACAGAACAAACCAGGCTGGGTCGAAGCATTCCCAGTCTGGCATTCGCATTGTAGCGATTTACTTAGAAGAGCGCAAAACAGCTTTCAAACGCCGGAGATGTTGCTCTTATTGCGTGGTATTTGTCCGGCACCAGCAAGGTGAAAAATGGTATTTTGTGGATGGCGATAACCGTTTGAAGTCGATGGATTTCTGTTGGCAGCATAAAGCGTCTATTTCGTGCGTTCTGACGACTGACATTATCATTTCAGCGGCACGTTCTCATTTGACCGGCGGCCGACATACCCTTGGTCTGTGCGGTATGTTCTTCCCACTCTCCCTGGCGACGCGACCCCCCCCCCCTCTCTCTCTCTCTCTCTCCAGAGGTCCTCCCCTTTCTTACCAGCGCTACGCCGTCCCCACTCGCCCCATCGTACTATAAGAGCTGAAGTGCCATTCCTTCCTGGCAGCGTCGTACTTCGAACTCGTCCCGAGCAAAAGAATTTGATGTGTGCAAAAAAACGGATTCAGCCGACGACATTGGATACTATCCCGGAACGCTGTTGTTTTAGTATCGGACAACTGCGACCTCCGCACCGTTCTTCATGGGGAGGCAAAAAATCGTCCGCAACCGACCCTTTTCTTCCTTTTCGACACTGGGAGACCACCATTTCCTGCATCGCTGCATCACATGTATTGATCCAGATAACACGACAGCAATCATCATCCGCCCGTATAACGATGAGCACAGCAAGAAACGGACATTAGCAAGATATATGTATTCAACAACAGTAACAAGAGATCATCTCCTCCAGAAGCCGAGTACGGTCACAACCTTGAATCCTAGCGGTTAATTCGTTACAGCCCCACAGTTGGCCGGCCGAGCGTCACCACCCGTACACACACCAAACAACGACATTGGCCCAGACCGCCAAACAGCCCACAGCGCGCACTGAATATAAAACACCCATCCACTGTTCCCTCTCTCACTCACTCCCACACGCGCGGATTGACTCGGCTCTGACTGTGGCGCCGCCTGGCGGCCGTCTGCCCCTCTGACACAGGTACACGATCACAGCTGGTGGCGGGGCGGCGCCGCGGACCGCCTGGGACGCGCCGCGGCGCCGCATCACATTGCTGACCCGTCGGCGGGCGTGGCGCGCTCGGACGGCGGCCGCGGACGGTGAGCGGCCGGCGGCGGCGGGGTGGCCACGCCGCCGTTGCTGCCGCGGGTGAGGCAGAGCGCGGTCGGCTCCAGGCGCGCCCGCTTGGCCGGCTCCTCGCCGTCCTCGCCGGACTTGTCCGAGGTGCGCATCACCTCGGCGATCTTGTTCTTGACGTAGTCGAGCGGCGACGCGCCGACTGCCGACCGGCTCGCCTGGGAGGTGGCGGCCAGCGGCTCGGTGGCCGCCGGCCGCTGCTGCTGCTGCTGCTGTTGGCGTTGTTGCTGCTGTTGCTGCTGCTGATACAGCCAGGCCTGGTGAGGCGCCGACAGTCGGACCGGCTCGGCGGCCGACTGCGGCGGCGGCCGCTGTCCGGCCAGCTCCGGCGAGCCCGCCTGGGCCACCCTCATGATGTGGCGCTCCTCGCGGATGAGCCGCGCCCGCTCCATGGCGGCGCGCTCGGCGGCCGCCGACTCGGCCGGTCGGCCGGCCGGCGCCGGCGCGCCGCGGTACCGGTAACCGTAGCTGTCAGGCGGCGGCGGCGGCGCGGCCGGGTACGCGGGCCGCTCGGGCGGCGGCAGAGAGCGCGGCGAGTCGCGGCCGGCGGCCGGCCCGCCGCCACGGCCCACCGGCGGGTAGCCGCGCGGCTCCGGCGGCGGCGGCCCGCCGGCGCCGCGCGACTCCTGCGTCATCGAGCGGTTGATAATTGTGTCTATCAGCCCCATGGCGGTGAGACCGGCCTTGTCCAGCCCGCGGCCGGCAGCCCGCGCCGCCATCTCTTTGTTGATCGAGTTTTGGCGCTGCTGAGCTTGCTGGGCCTGCTGCTGCCGCTGATGCTGGGCTTGCTGTTGGGCCTGCTGCTGGGCCTGCTGGTGAGCCTGCTGCTGCTGATGGTGGTGCTGCAGCAGGCGCTGCTCCTGCTGCTGGCGATGCTGCTCCTGCTGTTGGCGGTGCTGCTCCTGCTGTTGGCGGTGCTGCTGCAGCGCCTGCCGCTGCTGACTGGCCGCCGCGGCAGCAGCGGCGGCCGCCTGCTGCTGCTGGTGTTGTTGCTGCTGTTGCTGCTGCTGCCGGTAGCGCTGCTCCTGCTGCTGACGCTCCCGCTCCATCCTGGACGGCACCATGAGGTTGCTCTGCGCCACAGCCACGTCCACCAGAGTGCTGAAGTTGTCTGGTGCGTACGGCGCCGCCGCCAGCCGCTGATAGGAGTCCGCCGGCGGACGGGACGGTCCCGGCCCCGGGCCCGGGCGGCTGGTCGGCCGCTGGATCACGCCGGCTCGCTGCTGGGTCGGCGGCGGCTGGTGCTGCGGCGCCGGCGGCTGGCGGCGCGCCGGGGGCGGCGTGCTCCGCGGCGGCGGAGGCGTGTTGTGTGGCGGCGGCGCCGGCTGCCGGCCGTACATCGCCAGATCGCGCGGCGAGGCACGCGGGTCGCCGCCGCCGTCCGAAGAACTGCGGCTGTCGCGCCGGCCGTGCATCTGTTGCGACGTGATGTAGTCTGTGATGAGCACGTGCCGCGAGGAGAGGTGGTCGCCCGGCGGCGGACCGCTCGGGTACGGGTAGCCGGCCGGCGCGCCGGGCCCCGCGCGAGACGTGTACGCACCCGGCTCGGCCGACCCCACCAGGCCGCCGCCCGTGGTCGGGTTGTCCCGGCGGCGCGGCTCCGGCTGCATGGGCGTGCCCTGGGTGATGCTGCCGCCCTCGCGGAGATGGGTGGCCGGCGGGCGCATCAGGCCGTCCATCGCCGCCATCGGGGTGCCCTGCGTGATGGAGCCAGCTCCGGCGCGCGGCGCGGGCCGCGGCTCCGGCCTGGGTGGGTAGCCGGCCGGCCAGCCCGCCGGCGGGAGCTGCCGCGGCGCCGGCGCCGAGACGCGCGGCGCCGGCTGCTGCCAGGGCCGGCTGGCGGCCGCCAGGTGCGGGGGCAGCGCGCCGCGCGGCTCCGGCAGCCCCGGGTGCGGCGCAGACACCCGCCGCTCGGCGTGGTACGCGTCCGGCGGCGGCCCGAGCCGCGGCGGCGCCGGCGGAGCGGGCGGCGCACTGCGGCGCGGCGGCGGAGGCGGCTCGGAGCCGGCCGGCCGACGCACGCTCAGGTCCTGCGCCACGTTGTCGCAGTCCTGCACCGGCTGCGGCTGCGGTGGCTGTGGAGGCGCCGGCGGCTGGCCGCGGCGCTCCCCAGCCGTCAGCAGACTGTTCAGAGTAAAGTCTCGGGCGTCTCCGCCAGCCGCCGGCGAGTCGCCCTCGCGCTCCATGCGCGCCAGCACGTTGCGGAAGGAGCGGTTGATGGTGACGTCGATGAGGTCTCCGATGGAGGGCCGCGGTCCGAGACTGGTGGTCGGCGGCGGGGAGATGGCGCACACGGCCGGCCCCGGCGGGGGCTCGGCCGGCGCCGCTGAGCGGACAGGCGCCGGCGGCGGGTCGGCGTGGTTCTGCAGCGCCGCCGACCTCGGTCGGCCCACAGTCACCACCTTCACCTCGGGCTCTGCCGACGCCTCGTCGGCAGATACCTGACAGAGGGGACACGGTACAGTCAGAAACGGCAAATACCTGCTGAGTTCTTAGGGGAATAATCGCAGACTCTTAAAACAGGGTTCGATAATTGAGTGGGCTGCTGCGGACCTGGATAAGCGCTGGGGAAATCTCCGTTGCTCGGCTGCCACGGAAACATTACCCGTCCATCGCACAGTCCAGATCCTCAAAATGAATAAGCGATTAGGATCTGCCCACCGTCGTCGGCTTATACGCCGAAACAGTTCATAATGAGCTTCTGGAAATAAACGTTCACTGTGCAATGAAATTACCATTTAATCTTTAAATCGAACAGAGTGCATCTCTCCATCCCTGTGACCTGCAAACAGCAGCGCAAACCACCAGCCTACACGAGATACGTCATACCACTGGAGTTTGCTGTTAGCTTATCATTCACCCCTATAATAACATACATATCCGGTACGTCCTGCCAAAAACTCAAGCCCTTTCTCAAACGCACCTTAATAAGCAATGACACCACACTACCAACAATCAGACTCCGACCCTCCCGACCTCCAGCGTTGGCCGACATCCCTCCCGACCCCCAGCGCCGGCCGGCCTCCCTCCCGACCCCCGGCGTTGGCCGGCCGCCCTCCCGACCGGCCCGGTACGTACGGTGGCCGAGCTGTCTCCGCGCCGCTCGTTGGCCGCCGGCACGGGCCTCTCGTCCTCCTCTGCTCCGCTCGATTCCTCGCTCTCAGTGTCAGTGTCCGTCAGATCCTCGGCCGCCAGGTGCAGTCCAGCCGCCTGTGAACAGAGCATCAGGTTAGTTCGTGGGAGAGATACCAAACAGCGCTGGGGTGGGCGACACCGCACGGTAGGATACCAGACACCATGCCAGACTGTCCGTCCGGTGCTAACCAGTTCAGCTCCAGGAACACACCGACGGAGTCGTCTGGATAATATGGCGTGCCGACCCACTGTCCGTTCGCCGCGGGCGGACAGGCATTTCCGAGAACGCGCCGGCGGTGGCGCGGTGCCTCCGGAGCTGCATTATCTCCGCACGATACGGCGCAGTTACATGATCCGTGTGATCGCTAGAGGCCTCCTGGCCCAGATCGGTACCCGGCCGGCGGCTCTGCTCACCTGTCTGTACTCTGCCAGCGCGCGCTGCAGGCCCAGCTCGGGCCGCCGCTGCGCGTACAGCCGGCGGCACTGGGCCGGCCGGCGCGAGCCGACGGCCGCCGCCGCCGCCGTCCAGTCGGCGCCGCCGCTGCGCAGCGCCTGCCGCAGCCGCTCCAGCTCGTCATCCGTCCAGGGCGGCTCGGCGGGCGGCTCCGGACGGCCGGCCAGCCGCCGCGCCAGCCGGCCGCGGCAGGCCGTGCAGCATTTGATCACCTCGGGCGTCAGCTCTGCGGCACAGACACGGGTACGCGCCGGTCAGGTCGGGAGCATTATCTCGGTACAGCTACCGCCATAAGCCACCCCAAGACGTATCAGCGGCAACGGAATGGCCAGATACTAGCCATCAACTGGATTCCAATCTTAACACTTGATGGAAAAATATCAAATCGATCAAAACCATTCCCCCATGAGCAGCCCGCAAATGTGAGCGAACAATCGCTTGAAACATACACATTCAGCACGATTGACGTAAAACAGACCGTGCAATGGCGTGTATCCCCACCCCCATCTCCCATCCAACCCACGAAAAAACGCCTTTCAATTTCAAACTATCCCCCTCCGCCTCCGTCACCGGCGGTTACTCACGCAGCTCGGCGGCGATGGTCTGTCGCAGCGATGCGTCGGCGTCGGCCCAGCGCGCCGGCAGCGGGCGCAGGCGCTTCACCCGCTGCCGCGGCGTCGGACACGTGGGGATCGGGCACTTGACCCTGCAACAGCCGCAGCGCAGTGTTAGAGAGACGACATTGGGTGAGCGCAGAAATAGCAGGTAGTGCAATCAAAAAACAAAAACAAATAGATCATTAGTTACTCTATATATGACAACGATATTAAGCCAACTACTGATAATCGGTGCTCATCATGATATCGGAACTCTAAACAGGTCAGATAATTACAGAACTATCCAATGTCATTAACAACAGTCGTGACTGTCAGTAATCACTGCCAAGGACATGTGCAGACAGCAGTGATGTGTGTAGGGACAGACTAGGAGCTGTATAGTGCGGTGTACTCACTGCGGGTAGCGTCTGCGTGCCGAGCGGCCGCGGCAGACGGCGCACACGCGCGCGTCCGCCGGCAGCGTGTCCTCAGACAGCCCGTAGAGCGTGGCATGCTCGGGCAGCAGCGGGCGCCACTCGTCGGCAGTGTCGGCACCCTGCTCCGTCTGGCAGACGGCGCACGCTACCGCCGGCGGCGCGGGCTCCGCGGCGTCCCCTCGCTCCTCCACCTTGACAGTCGGCTCCTCTCCACTCCCCACCGCCGCTGGTTTGGTGTCGGTGCCGGTGTCGCCGCCCTCCGGCTGCGAGCCGCCGTCCGCCGGGGCGGCGGTGGCAGCAGCGGCGGCGGCCGGCGCGGCGGGTGCCGGGGCGGGGACGGCACTGCTGGTGCTGGTGGCTGTGCCCGCCGCCGCCGAGCCGCCGGTCCGGCCGCGCTGCTGCAGGGCGCCGCGGGTAGTCATGCCGGGCAGGTCGGCCCCGATCACCAGCGGAGCCGGCGGCGGCCGCGCCGGGCCGCGCGTCCGGCCGCGGCTGCGCGCCTTCTTCAGACGCTCCTTGTACTTGAACTGCTTCTTGCTCAGGTAGTAATGTCGCACACACTCGCGGGTCGAGTGGCGCTCCAGGGCGGCGCTGATGACGTGGAACTGTTTGGGGTGCTGCAGGAAGCGCTCGTTGAACGTCTGCCGCTCCTCCTCCGTCCAGACGTTCAGGTTGGAGAGGTCGTCGTGCAGCTGCAGCGCCTCGCCGGTGAGGCCGCCGCGGTTGATGAACCGGTGTTTCCGCCGTCGGGCGTCCAGCATGGGCGGCGGCACCACGGCCAGCGAGAGCAGCCGCTGCCGCTCCGTCTGCCGGACACAGAGAGTAGCGCCCGGGGTCAGAGGGGCCGCGCACCGGCACGCCGCAGCGCGCCAACTTTACAGCGCAGAGCCGCCCAGCGGCGACCGGTGACCTTTCCCGGTAAGCAGCGCACGACTGACATTTATATGAGCACTTTCAAAGCAGACAGTTTCCCAGAAAATGTGCTGCGCTTTCAGATCAGGCCCGGTTGTCCGGCCTGACTCACAAGCGAGCATAATTGGATGTCGAGCAGGCGCCGCCGCCCTGACATCAGCAGATTCGTCTGCCGCCCGTGGCTGGTCCGGCCGGAAACCCCTGATCCCAGCACCAGCGGACGCTGCCGGGGTCGGGCCGCCCTCCCCGTGCCGCTCACCATTTTCTGCTGGACGCCGTCCGGCTGGTCGTCCTGCTCGGCTCCGTCGGGCCGGGCCGGTCGGCCGCCGCCGGCCGCCAGCCGCTCGCGCTCCTCCCGCAGCCGTCGGATCTCAGGGAACACCTTCTCGTAGAACTCACGGTCACGCGCGGCGCACTGACGGTGCTTCTGTGGGTGGAAGAGATAAACCGTCGTCAGAGCTCTGAACACGCCATACAGCAGAACGCCCGGCGAACTACGGATAAAAATGAATACTCATCGCCTTATTTGCAGGACTGTGCAACAAAGGCAAGATAAAGACCCGTCCTAGCAAACAACTAGGGCTGGTTTTTGCTTCGCCCTCCATGGTACATTTATGCGTTTTATGGCACGCATTGACGAAAGCCGTTGGTGGCACTTTGTGACTAGGTGTAACGAGTTTAATGTGCGTCACTAATTAAATTGTGTTACCACTCCAGTCCCCACCCAAGCTCCGAGCCCCCGCGTCACTCACGGGCACCATCTCGTGCTGCTGGATGCGCCGCAGCCACTGCCGCAGCTGTCCGGTATAGGTGTGCAGCGTATCACGGTCCCGGCCGATCTCCGCCAGCCGCCGGCGGCGGATCGACGCCACCAGGCGCGGCTTGAAGGTGGCGAACGCGGTGCGGTTAGCGGCGTACGCGGCGACGTCCGACGGCTGGTTGTAGAGCGGCTGGACGGCGTGCAGTCGCCACCGCTCGGTGCCGTCCGCACCGGCCGCCGGCTACAGGGGCAGAGGGGCAGGTCAGACTGGGGCACGGGAGTCAGTGGCTGGCCAGGACGCCAGGGGAGGCGAGAGAACGTAAAGAACACAGGGGAGACTGAGGCTGACATGTCTCACCGGCTGGGAAAGGTCGAATACGACCAGGACACGGGCCTCAGCGACGACCCATCGCCGGCAGCTGACCGTACCACAGGGTAAGGTCAGAGAAACCACTAGACATGGGTTGACGGTGGCTGCAGCACGTGAGGGGAGGAGGGTATGACGCAGGGTAGCCGCAGTAGCTGCTGAGGTCCGCTGAGCCTGCCACTCGAGGTCTGTTGCCAAGGTTGCCAGGTCAGAGAGGCCACAACGACCAGACACGAGGATAGGCATATCGCTCGACAAGGACGCCGTGTGTTGCTTACAATGGAGACAGGTGGTTCGAGAGGCCCGCGATTCGGGCCACGGAGCCATAAATAATTCAACACCATTCGTCATTGTCTGAATTCGCTCGGACATTCAGCTAGCCATCGTGTGTTTCCGGGCTACCGTTTGCTTCTCTCGTGCACACATAATACACAAACTTCAGCATGCTTCAGCAATTCACGGCCTAGGTCCACCAGGGAATAATCAGTTGGGCCCTTGGTCATAACCAGGAGGCCTCACACCCTCAGTAACAAGTAACTACATGCCCTATCCCTCCGACCCCTCAGTCCCACCGTCAATAGTCCAAGCCCGTGGAACTCACCTTCACCTGGGCCGGTTTCAGTTTCTCCAGGTCCGCCGTAGCTGTCCGTGCCCGCTTCTGAAAACGTGACACCTTTGTCAACAACCACAGCCACACCTACAAAATAATGTCCAACCGCAACATACAATTGTTTGCTCCAGGGGAGTTCTGGATGTGGTGAAAGGACCGATTCTTGAGGTGATACAATTGGCTACGTCGCACATGATGAACATAGTTACTGAACAATGAACGTGCTACCTCACATACATGGATGCAGTTATATCAAACAAGCCTGACAAAACGACGCAAATGACCAAACTTATGCAACACATGACTTGAAAGCGTACAAACACGCCTGCAGATGTACCGCATGACTGACTGCAAACCTAATGAGCACGAGTCTCGATTACCAGACTACTTCGAGTACCCTTCAAACAACCAATCTGGCCCCCGCACAAGACCCTCTCCCCGACCTAGCCCAGAAAGGTCCACAGGCGTCACACTCGTAAGACCCCACTCCACAGACTCCACACTATACAGACTCCATACACTCTCCATCCCGTCCTTAGACTCTACAGACTGCAGACTCCCCACCCACCCGGTTGTCGGCGTAGATGGTCTGCGGCAGGCTGGTCATCTTGGGCTCCCGCTCGTCCTCAGAGACGGAGCCGTCCGGCCGCGCCGCGTGCTGCTCCAGCTCACTCTGGCGACGGCAAGGTATTCAGAGCGGTCACCAGTGGGCCACAGATGGGTCAACGATGATCCATGAATGTCACTGCCACTGATCATCGATGTAAGATAAAACCACGCTTGACGCATCACTTATCACATAGGTTGATAAGCAGCGGCCTAATCCTCCAATAAACGTCTGAAACAGCTCGACCGCTCAGTCTCTCCTAAAGAAAAATTAACCTACCCATTAGCTGCCAAACAATAGAAGCAAAGGATAGGTGAGAAAGTACCCGGCCGCACACGCACACTGTGAACGCTGGTAGTGCATCCCCACCCAACTCCGTCTCGTCTTTGCACACCTGTTTCCGTTTGAGTTTGGCGATCTGAGACTCTGCCTTCATGATCTCCCTGTCGATGGTACTGATCTGGCCGAGCAGCTCGTCCTTGGTGGAGCGGAGCGGCGACTCGTCCAGCCCGTCGGCCGGCAGCGTCGGCGAGATGGCCTCCGTCTGCGGGTTGTACGGCGACTCCTGGGGACGGGACGGTGGTGTCAGAGCGGCTGGTGTCGCGCTGTGCGGGGGGAGCGGGAGTGGGAGGACGAGGACGCGGGCAGTCTGATGTCAGTCATTGCTATCATTAGCAGATACAGAGGAGGGCAAGTGGATAGAGTAGCCGACCGGTGACCAGTTATGATGAATGCGCCAACGGCACTAAACTCGGCCGCTAGCTTTGGCAGGGCGATCATGTCAACCACTGACATCAATCATCTACGTATCGATAACACATAAGAGCGCGGAAAAAGAAACTAAAGAAAACAAGGGAAAAATTTCCTCGGGTATTGCTCCTAAAAAAAAAATAATGACAGCAAAAGTAATGAGGCGCAAAGAAAAAGGTAAATGTTTCTGCCAAACGGCAAACACCCACATGACCAACAAGAAAAAAAGCAATTTCCATGACGGCGTGGGCGTCTGAGTAAACCTGATTGAATACCAATCCACTGTAGCAGGCGTATTGTTCGCCTCTATTGTACGGCGCTGAATCGTCAGAGGGGGGTTTACACAGAACTAATACCATTTACGAGGTGGGGTCGTGAGCTGTGGTAACCAGTCCAACTAGTTCTGATTATCCTACTGAGCCAGTGGCGATAGATTAAAATTTATACCTGGGGGGGGGGGGGGGGGGCATCCGCCCTCAGCGCTGGTCGGCCGAGGAAGCTCCCTGGAGTTACGCCGTAGGGTTTCTCCAATATACGGGCTCACAGGTCTTCGTGGGTCGCGCAGGGTTCAGAATTCGTCGCTCCACACTGCCACGGTAGATTGAACGTGATCCCACTGCATAAGTCCGTAGGGAAGGTCGGCGGAGAGCCATAACTTTAACCTCGTGCCAGACAACGATTTTACTAGCCGAATGCCCCAGACCGCGCAATGTTGGAAAGGAAAACGCTTCATTTTGATGAACACGTGTGCACAAAACAAAAAGAGCTAATTTGTGTAAGATGTGAGGCTTTCACAACCCTCTGTCGGATGTTTAGCGGGAATTATCGTTATCCTACATCACCCCATCTTGACAATATCCCATGATAATGTCACAATGTCCGAGAAGAAGTCTTAGAAGCCAAGTAACAAACCAAAAATAAAAGGAACTGATTGGCACCACGCGGATGCAGTGCCTGCAGTAATTGTCCCTAAGAGGATGTTCGGTAACTCGGTTTCAGTTTCACGTGACTTCAGTCGACCAGTGGCGCCGGTCACGGGCAGGACGTGCCGCTCTGACCCGTTACCGACCGGCCGGCACACATCCGGGCCGCTGACAGCCCACGTCCGCTGAATCCGCCCCTGTCCGGCCGTATTTCGGTCGGACGGGACGTGTGACCGCTCCGGTACGCCGGAGCCATCCGCGCGCTGTGACATCTGGTTTGTTCAGACGTTATTAAATTTCACTACTCCGTCTGTCATCTCTAATTCGCTGGCGTCGTGCTGCGAATAACAATCGCTTGTCCCGGAATAACAAAGTATTGAATTGATCTAATTGCCAGAAAAGTGGACAGGGGATTTCCCCGATATCGCTGAGAGCCATATGACGTCTTCGCAACATTAGCATTTACCGCTGGACGTAGGTCTATTATGTTCCTTATTCGGAGTCACATAATGGGAAAGTTGTGACCACAAGGAGACAATGCACATACAAAGGAGAGCCCAGCTGCACAACCCACGACAGATACACCGGATTTCGAAAGGAAGACGAACCATGAACACGAACGATGTGAAAAGGGCAAATACAGATCATTTACGGCGAATAGAGACCAGATGTCCGCCAAATTCACATCACTCTGCTTTCAAGCCTGGCTATTTTCAGCCGTTCCACATGTTATCATTGGTGATCGGCCCCACTAAAGGCAAGCACTGCAATAATTTAAGACCGGGAGGTCCATAACCGAGCTAGAGCGGTCTACCCCGACCCCTACCCGCGTCATCCTGCCTCCTTAGAATGTGGAGACGGGAACTGGCCCGCTGCGAAGTCCTTACCCCATCCGAGTGTGACCCCCTGGGCCCTGACTCCCTCACTGACCCAGCTGGGAGGCCTGTTCGCCCCTGTGCCCCGATGTGTGACCCCTCTCCCCCTTACTAACCCACTGGGAGGCCTCTGTCCCAGTGACGATGTGGTAGCCCCCCCCCCCCTCACTAACCCGCTGGGAGGCCTCTGCCCCTGTGACGATGTGTAGCCACGCCCCCCCCCCCCTCCCCTCATTACTAACCCGACTCCTCCCATTACTAACCCGCTGGGAGGCCTCTGCCCCCGTGACGATGTGCAGCGGCAGACGCGGGTCGCCGCCCGGCACCGACGGTGGCCGAGGCTCTGGCGCACGAGCCGTCACCGATAGGCCGCCACCTCCTCCGCTGGTCCCCATTTCCCGCTCTCCGTAAGATCTGTCAGTCACACAGGGCACAGGGCGGGTGGTTAGCGAATGACCGAACCGACTTCTGATAGCAGGCGCGCATACATGGCGACACCACATAGGCTGTTGTTGAAAAAGGGGAACATAGAACGAACGACAGTCTTTTGAGCTTTGCGTCGCAGAACTAAGAAAACAAATGTTTGAAGGTATCATTATTGTGATCGTTGATCAGCCATCAGGCATTAATGTGAACGTAGCTCCGCGCTAATGGCCCAGCAGATCTGTGTTCCAGGAATAGTGCGACTGTCAGGGATTACTATGTCAGGTTGACAGGCCCGCCTTTTACGCAGCACCGGCAGGGTGTTGCCGCGGTTACGGCCGGCTACCCCGGACGGGGGAGGGGAATGGCCTCCATGATACCTGAGGCCAGTTTTACCAACAGAAAAATAGCCGCCTGCCGGAATTGTTTGCCTAAATACCGCTTCACATACGGAGCGTAAACGGTAAAGCCATATCCGCTACCGTGCCCAGTGCGTTTACGCTCCGTATGTGAAGCGGTCTCTAGACAAAAATTCCGGCAGGCGGCTATTTTTCTGTTGGTAAAACTGGCCTCTGGGCCATGGAGAATTAACCTTAGACAAGCCGGGGGAGGGAGAACTATGTAGACTCAGAAAGCCTGGGTCCCCGTTAGAGCGGGTACTGAGCCCAGGCAGGCCCGGTTTTGATTGATTGATTGATTGATTGATTAATATTTTATTTATAAAAAGTAAAAACATTTTCACAGTCATACATTCACACGGATTGGTGCAGAAGCGACAAGCGCTTATCTCTTAACACCTCTCCCAGTTCCCTACAAGGTAGGAGGCACGACCCGAGGGTGGACCCGGTTAGCCGAGGGTGTGGCCTATGGATGTGGGAAACTGACCTCCCGCGGGCCGGGTCCCCTGAGAAGGTTGGGAGGGTGGCCGTATACTGACCTCCGGTAGGATGTTGTGAGGGTGGCCATATACTGACCTGCGGTAGGCCGGGTGCAGCACGGCCCGGTCGTCGGCCAGCCGCGGCGCCAGGCCGGCCAGCTCGGCGCCGTGGCCGTGCCCGCTGGGCAGCAGCGTCGGCCGCCGCGCGCGCCGCTGCTGCTCAGCCACCGCCGCCGCGGCCGCCGCCTGCTGCTGCTGCAGCTGCAGCCGCTCCTGCTGCAGCCGCTCCACGTGCTGCTGTTGCTGCTGCTGCTGGAGACGCTCATGGTGCTGCTGCAGACGCTCGTGCTGCTGTTGCTGCTGCTTGAGCTGCTGCTGCCGCTGTTGCTGTTGTTGTTGCTGCTGTTGCTGCTGCTGCTGCTGTTGGCGTTGTTGTTGCTGCTGCTGTTGTTGCTGCTGTTGCTGACGCTGCTGCTGCTGTTTCTGCTGCGCTTGCGCCTGTGCCTGCTGCTGCTGCTGTTGCTGCTGCTGAAACAACACAGCAATCAATCAGCCAAACTGCTGAGAATGAACAGAACAATGCTAAAAGTACTGTCCGTGAACAATGCCAAAAGTACCGCCGGTAATCCCGGCCGGAATGTCTGTCTCAGAGTCGCTCTGGGCAGCTGGGCCGCTCAGCCCTGCTGCACGCTGCAGTCTCGGTGACGTGTATCCGAGCTGAGCCAGCCACACGGCCCTCATCCCGTGACCGGCGGATGATATACCAACGTCGCGCACAAACAGCACAGCTGCTGGGGGCGCACCGTCTGCACGGAGCGCGGGCGGGACCCAATCAGACCGTAATCGAGACTCGGGTCCCATCACCCAGCCCGCCAGTCGGTCGAGCGTGCCGAGTGGGCGGTAGGACTGACTGACACTGACAGGACCGACTGTTTCAGTCCAACAGCTGACTGACGGACGGTGTTAGGTGGACGGCGGCGGTAGGACTGACAGTGACAGGACCGACTGTGTCAGTCCATCAGTTGACTGACGGACGGCGTTAGGTGGACGGCGGTGAGTGTAACTCACCAGCTGCTGCTTGTAGTGGCGCTGCTCGAGCGCGTACTGGTCGGCGGCGGCGGCGGCCGCGGCGGCCGACAGAGGGTCGTGCCGGTGGAGCCGCGGCGGCGGTGGCACGCCGGCCCGCTCCGGCTCCGGGCGGACAGGCACCGGCGCCGGCTGCAACACGGGGGGAGGAGAATACGTCAGTCACACGGTACTAACTCAACACACCACCGGCGACTCACAACACAGGGAAGGCGCACAGAACACACTGACTGCCACACGGTACTAACTCAACACACCACCGGCGACTCACAACACAAGGAAGGCGCACAGCACACACTGACTGCCACACGGTACTAACTTGATACACCACCGGCGACTCAAACACACCACACACAAAGTAATCCAGCGTCCAATCCAAAAATAAGATTATGAACCTAATAGAATCCTGAAGCTCTTGAAATGCCTCACAAAAAGTTGCGATAGTTACATCAGCTCGAGTTTGGATCAGAGGCGAGTAAAAGGCCGAATGACATTGTCACTCAAACACCCGACAGTGTTCCAACAGTTGCCCTCCCGGCAATGTATCGAACGCAGTCATAAACTCTCCGGTGACCGCTCGAGCGTTCGATACCGTACACCGCCCGGCGCCCAGTTCGTCTGACGGAATCCGGCACAACGTCCGGCCCGCGTCACTGCCCGCGGGCGTGGCCGGGCTATCTCAATCGGGAGAGATATACGCTGACGTACTATAACGTGGGAAAAATAGTTTTAACGAAGATCCTGTTATGATAAGACTTTTCAGGCATGCCTGGGTTCCGTTTGAGGCATGTTTTCTAACAATGCCGTCGTTAGGTGAGGAACCCACACTATGTCTGTATATGGGCATCAGTAACACATGACCGGCGACTTCACCTTGACCTTCGTAAGCGCCTGCGAGGCGGCCGCGACCGGCGGCGCCACTGCCGACTCAGCAGGTGCATTGTGCACCGGGTCACTGTATATCGCCGTATCTACCACTGACACAGCACGCTCCTCGAACACCAATGAGAGGTCCAACGTCCATGACCTTGCCGCTCCCCGCCCCACTTCCTCCGGTGCTCTACCCCGACTCCCAACCCGCGGCGCCATCTCGCTCTGCCAGTCGGTAACAATGCCCCCCCCCCCCCTCTCCGGTCCATGGCAGCGGGCAGGACCCGGACAGGCCGGCCAGAGACCGGCGACCACTGCCGGAGCGCAGCCCGTCCCGTCGCACCGGTTCCCGATCTGCAGCCCGACCGGCCGCCCGCTCTCCACAACTTGTCCACTGACCTTCGAGACGAGTTTCAGCCCGGGATGAATCTGGAGGAAAGGCTAACGTGCCCACCAAGGCCAGCGGGCCTCCGGAGGGCCACAACATGCCCAAAAGGAGCACATAACATCCAGAAACGATATTCGTCTTATGTAAGACTGGAATATTGATATGAAATACGCCAGACGTGGAAACATTCAGATGTGTGCAATGCTCAATGCTCATCGTTCACCCACGCCGGCTGCTGTAGATTAATATCGGAAGATAAATGAAGGCCGGATCTGAGCCGAGACCCGACTGCCAGCACCATACACCTGGCAGACGGAACACAGGGACAGACACCAACCGACCGACCGACCCCAGCTGGCGGCCAGAGGCGGGTGTAGCTAGCGACCTTCGGCGAGTCGTCACCGTGGCGGACAGCTGACTCCGATTTCCCACTGACTCACCCCGTTCGGATGTATCGCACAGGTGGTCCGCTAATCGCGCCACATCCCACTGTCACCAGCTTCATATCCTTCCGTCCCTATACACCTCACGATGACACCCAGCTAATGACGGCGCACATGCGAACACCAGCGGTCAGTAAGACTCAGGATGTGTCAGCAAAACAGAACAATACAAGGGACCCATCGGAGGTTTGAGAGGTAGCCGTGCCGTATTGAAAGTGCATTGGTGGGACGGGAGCTGCTAGGCCGTGGGCAAGCGGGGCGGTGCGCTCAGAGCAGACTGCAGGTGGCACATGTGATTCTGGACGTTAGCCCTGCACCTGTGGGTACCGGCCGGCCCACCCCACCGGGTCGCCGACCCAGCGACCACATCACCCCCATCCTCGGCCAGATGCGGGCGCCAGCACACGCTACACCCCGTCCCAGGGACGCCCGCAGGACTGCAGGGACCGGACCCACGCCGGTCGCCAGCTGTTCCTCCGGACCGGACCGCTATAACGAGGATAGCACCATCCATCGCATCTCCTCCCCAGTCCCAGCGCAGTGCCCTGGGACCGGACCGCTATAACGCGGATAATACAATCCATCGCTGTGCCCGGTCTTGACCCTCAGTGCCAGGACCGGACCGCTATACCCTAATCTCCGCCCTGCGCCGTCAGCGTACCGGGGATCACGCTCCCCACCCGCCGCTGCGCCGTCCCAGCACCCCAAACGATGCCGGTCGGCCCTACCAGCAGCGAGGGTGCCCCAGCCACCCAGCCGTTACAGTAACGGACCCGTCCCGGGAAACTGATACACAAAGCCGGCAAACAGTGACGTCACACCTGGAGATGACGTCACAGGGAGGAGGGGTCCGCGCGGAACGCAGGTGTAAGGGAGACCGGACTGGCTGGAAGACGAGAGCAGGCGCCGCGGGTCGTCGCACGACACAAAGCAGGGATTTCCTTGTATGCGGGCGGGTTGTGATCTATTGCGCCTTTGTTCGGCGGATTCAGACTCAGAGTTCGTCCGTCACAGCCTGGCGCCAAACACCTGTCAGAAAACTCCGCAACAACTCCGCACGATGGCCAGTCATTGTATAAAACGGTCACAGGGGCGGCCCACAAAGAGATAAACTCGCTCCTACCCTACGGACATGGGGCGGTGGCTATATGCCAAATGTAGATACAAAGACTACCTGGGAAATCAATGTAATACTATCATTTCGATTACGCTTGAATGACGTCAACCATCTCCAACAAAGATACTGGTGAGCACGGAAGTGCCATGATTGATGACCTTGACCTTTCGAAAACCGGTCATTGTCGAGAGCTACTCGAGCGTCGAGTGCGGGATTCTCGGGTGCCGCCGCTGTGATACGGCCCGGAATGTCAGTCCGCGGCGCGGCGGGTGGCCGCTGTTGCGGTGTCCGCCGGGGGAAGGGAGGGGAGGGGGGGGAGAACGTTCCGGCTCGGAGCCCACCGCAATGTGTCACGCCGACTCTCACGTGGGTCGGCACTTGGCACGCCGCCAGCAGCGCCCGGCCGGCCGAGGTTGGCGGTGTCTAATGTTGGCGAGGGTTGGCCATGCGGCGCGGCGGCGCTATCGGCAGTGGGGCAGCCGCCGAACAGCTGACCGGCGGCAGAGGGAGGGGAGGGGGACGGGGCGCGGGTCAGCGGCCCCGCGCGCCGCGCACGGACGCACCCCGGCCGCCGGGGGCCGGCACATCCGGCTGGCCGCGCCGCCGCCGCCGGTTCAAGGGCACGTCAGCGCCGCGCCGGTGACGGAGGCCGCCGGTGGTCGGTATTTGGGCGGCCACGCACTGCCTTACGGCGGCTCCAGAAATACACCGCCAGCCCGCGGCAGCTGACCCAGATCGGCGCGCGGCATGGGCCCGGCGACAGGGCCGCGCCGGAGCGCCGGCAGATGTGTCGTACCGGGCCGACAGCCGCCACACGGCACTCCCGTCACAGCCAAGGACAAGCCAAAGGAAACAGGAACGACTGTGCAGATTCAACAGAGCGAGCGTTCAAAAGGAAAAGCACAGCCGACGCCGAGCGATCAATGTGTGGGAAAGAGTTCGACGGGAAACATGTCACGACAGACAGACTCAGTCCAACAAAAACCTCTCTCACTCAAGTGTCATGTGAATGCGGGTGACATTTCGTGGCAACTTCCTTGACGTTCCATATAATCGGCCAACAATGCTTGAGTTATCATCTTAAATCTAGTAGTCAATTACTCCACATAGCTGGTAGCAATCCCGATAAATAGGGCAGTAACTTGTATCGAAACCACCCCGCCAGCACTACCAACACGAAACACAAGTAAAAGGTAACCCTCATAACCGGTTTCATCGTGACTTTTCAGCGTCATAAATAACAAAAATAATAAGGCTGCTCAGTATGTCAAGTGCTGGGTAGGCAATGAAGCGTGCAAAGTCCGCGATTGCAACTCCTCGCGGCCCGTTCTACATAG